TTCATGGAAATAACTCCAAATTTAGTGGGAATGTATTTTGTGTTTTGATATTGTATTTTCAGTTAACACACTGCAATTTATTGTCCTTTAATACATTTTTGCCTGTGTGTTTTGCATTGAAATATATGGTTTTCTGTGTTACGTAATATATACTGTGTAATCACGTGTTCCATTATCCAATAGCTGATGGTCTGGGTACTTCACCGTCTCAGTGAAATCCTGGAGGTGAAGGAATTAACCACTACAGAACAGACCTAAACGTGTGTCCAGGAAAGTTCAGCGAAGCTGTCAGGGTCATGAGGGCAAAACTATTAATCTTCCTGAAATCCAATCAGCACCATCATTCCCAGTGGTGCAGTGTTTTCATTGGCTGAGCACACACACACTGAAGATACCCAACCTTTCCATCAGCCCACCATGCACAAACTCACTGACCTTGTAGCTGTAGTATACAGATGAATCCAAGCGGTTTCCCACAATGCAATGGAAAATGAATTATATCTCATGTGGTTAAATCCATAATTCATTAAAATGGTGCTGAAGTCTAAGAACTCCACCTGCACACATATGAACTGAAGATTGTACTTACAGTATACATTGTTCATGATGGTGTGTTCAGCACTGACTGTAAAACAGATAACTGTCTTTCCTCTGTGAGACTAATCTCTTATTTGTTAGTACCATTGGTAGGACTAGGTCTCCAACAGTGACATCCATGCAACCATTGCAAACATGGCTTTTGAAAATCCTTCAGATGATTCTTCCTTTTCCCTCCCATGTCTGCAGTCCATACTGATGTGACCTAGTTTGTGCTTCCCGAAAATCAACAGAGATGCAGAACTCGACTCTCACAGACATACATAGACACACAGACAAATACACAACACCCCTACCCATACAAACACACACACACACACACACACACACACACACACACACACACACACACACACACCTGCCAGCCTAGGGCTGTGGGTACTGTAGCTCACACTAATGAATAACAATGTGGCTCCACGTGTAAAGCGGCAGTTATAATTCAAACAGCGCCATGGAGACTGCGGAACCTCATCAAACTGTAAAACACAGAGAGCGCGCGTATCAAACTGAGTTTGTCAATATAGGACACGTAAATGAGCTCCACAGACTTTAAAACATGAATTCTTTTCTCTCTGTATGAAATAGTCAGGTGGGGGAGGGGGGAAAACTACCTTCATAAGAGAAATAATTTGTTTTGAACCAAAGCCATCTGTCGCCATAGTTATTCCTAACGCATCTTGACATTCTGTATAGGAGTAATGGGCTCTGCTAATGGAGGTCACATCAAAGCAAATAAGCCTCTCGGTTAATTCAATTTTCTCAATGCAGCCGCACTGGCGAAGACGGCATCTCGAATCCACGCCGCAGTAAACGTATAACTGTGGTGCAATTTACGACTCTTTTGCTGCGGCCATTTTCACAAGTGTGGGGGAAAATGGGGGTTAATTTCATAGCATAAAACAGGTGACAGGCAAACTGAGGGACTCCTACACCGAAGAGGGCCTCAGAGACTGTTGCATAAGGCATTTTCAGAGATAGGATGCTCAGCCTTCAAGCAGAGCAGCATTTAATTCCTCTTGGTGAATGCAGATGGTTCGTCTGTCTTTGAGGGGAACAAAGACAGCTGGATGTAAACAGGCACCTGGAGGGACATGGACGTTTTGAGATATGAGTTCTGGGGAGAGAAAGAAAGAGAAGGAATGACAGAGAGGCAGGAAGAGAGACAGAGAATTTGAGAGACAAGGAGAAAGGCAGAGAGTAGGAACACAAATGACTGGGAGAAAAAAAAAAAAACAGAGGGAGGACTCAGACAGACTTATATGGACAGATGCACACTGGAGTGGATTTTGGTTGATAATGTATTAGTTGTTAATATTTGCTGACATTAAGAGAAATCTACGGGAAATGGCCACTTTCACAGCGAATGACCCCCCCTCCACCCCACCCCCAGTGTAGCAGTATTACATGTACAAACCTCCAGTATTGAATCATAACATTCACGCACATTTAATCAATCACTGCCAAGGTCGGCTGCCAGGATTCTGACGGCAAACTCGTCTGTCTCCATTATGACCCCCCTGCCACACACACACACACACACACACACACACACACACACACACACACACACACCACTCTGTCTCCAAACTGGGAAACACACCATCTACTGCTCCTGATAGGCTGAGCCAAAGCTGCATTAAAAACTGCTGCAACCTGGGGAGTACACTATGGCACCTGTGTGGAATAGCAGATGGAGCTCCTGGCTTGGTACTCAGAAAGGTTCTGGGGGCGAATCCCATGAGAGGCATTGCTGTAAATTCCCCAAACTCTGCAATACAATGCAGCCTACACTGCAAAGCATCAGGGGTAAATGGAGTCAAGGCAGCGCACAAGATTCCCACAGTGCCGAAGCGGCAGCTTCATATCCAACCACAGCTACGGGATAACTCAATACCACGGGTAAAAATGACATGTTTAAAGGCATCTGGCTGAAACAGGAGGGGAAGTGAACCAATCTCACCTGGCTGCAGAACACTAGAGAACACCAACTGTAAACTGGCTCCGATTTGGAACAATGCTAACGCTTCATAGCCCTCCACGTTATAGCTCCTGCTGCTCTGTCACTATGCCAATCTCACCTTTAAATTTCACGATGGCAACATTTTTGGTCTGTCAAATGACATTGTAATAATTAATGATATAATCTGCTTGGCGATTAGCAGGATGGTGACATTATACAGCCAACGCAGTCCTGAGAGGACAGGCTAATGGTATTTTGTTCTGTGCTGGACTGAGTCCCTCTTTGCACTTTCATCTCATGGGAAGAAAACTAATGACGCATACGACACTAATGATGATGCTGACAATTACGATGACAATACTGATGATGAGGTACATGAAGATGACAAAGATGAAGGCTGATGACAATGTATTTTCCCAACAGTAACTGTTAAATAAGTTACTGCAGTTGGGAGGAACTACACTGACACGCAACCATTGCACATGTCAAACAAACGTCAAAACAATGTTCATCCGGAGAGCTGAAAGATTAGATCCCCATGGCTGCACCTACAATACATTCTTAACTTTGCCGCCAGCGGATGTCTATGCGTTATTTATACTGAGGGACAGCTCAAGCAGGGACTTAAGAGCGCTTTCTAAAGCGAACAAATCCCACTTCAGCAAAATTAGTCAAAGTGGACACAACTTTATTGCTAATCTTCTTTGAGACAGCTACTGCACACTTACGTAACATCCAATCTTTCAGAGAATTCTAACGGGACACACTTTGTGTTTTCGCCGGGGCCAAAAATAACCGTGCGGCGTATAATTTGGGTAAACTGTAATTGAATTGGGTCGTTTAAAATGCTCGGCCGCTAAAAGCCACTTAATATCCACACGTTATTCTGACAGGCCGCTGACAGTCATACTCCCAAGAAGTCTCTCTCCTGTCTGTCTGTCAGCACTGCCTGAACTGTGGAAGACCAGGAAGTATCATGCCTATTGGCCTCTTTTGAAACAACCACCCCGGAAGGCCAAAGTTAATCCATGTCGCTGTTACGTCAGGGTCACCTCAAAGTGACAGCGGCTTTGGACGGCGTCAGTTGGGCCCTGGTCTGTCCGCCACTTGTCCCCTTCTGCTCCGGCAGCAGGGCCATCCAGATAATCCTCATCTGTCCACCTGCTGACTCTGACCCGCAAAACCAAGCCAGTCAGGGGACCTTCTGCCATAGGTCAGAGGTCAAAGGGTAATGGTCACTCCAACCTTTAAAAGGCCAAACACACTGAAACGCATCTGTGAGGCTAACCGATGCTCAAAGCGCAATTATCACAATGTCAAACATATCTATAACCCATGGATTTCCACTCATCATTCGAACTCTGTCACCAACACACAATGACACAATCTGACTATAAAAGAAAAGGATGGAGAGGTGGGGGAAGGAGAAAATGACACTTATCACATGTCCTGGCTGGATGTGCCAGTGTGTGTGTGAGAGTGTGAATGTGTGATTTTGTGTGTGTGTGTGTGTGTGTGTGTGTGTGTGTGTGTGTGTGTGTGTGTGTGTGTGTGTTAGATGGGGTGAAGACTAGAATGACAAGGAAAGAGACACAGGGGAGAAAGGACAGGGAGAGTGAGTGAGCATGCATGCAAGTGTGCGTGTGTGTGTACGTGCGCCTGTGTTCTGGCTCAAGTGCCATGCATTTCCCATGTGGCTTTGCCACAGAAGCCTCAGAGTCTGCCGGTGCCATGCCTGGGCCCATCACCTCCCCACAATAACACACAAGTCTGTTCCACAACAAAGTCAGTCTCCCTCAATGCTGAAATCAACTCAGACAGGAGCGGGCAAAAACACAAAGCTCTAGAAGACCAGAGCACAAAGAGACAGTTTACAAAGTGTGACGGCCTGTTTCTCTCCCTCTTTTCACAAGGCCAGGCTGTGCACGCAGACAGCTCCAGCACACACAGCTTGGGGCTGTAGCTTCAGTCAAGCCCTGAGAGGAAACAGAAAAGGAAACAGCAGGGGAGGTTGCGTCACGCCATAGAAGCTCAGAATTCTATAGCTGCAGCTCATACCTCTTTTCTGAGGTGTGAGGGAAGATTTGAGCCAAGCACAGTTTCACAGTCTTGGAACACACAGCTGGTCATAGGAAGCGCTGTCTGCCCCATCGGGTACTTGGCAGATTAAAGCACTGCCCGCAGGCCAGCCTGGCCTCTCCTGCACCTCCCCCTCAGGTGTGTGCGCTATTAAAGAGTACCTCGTCCACCTCCGTCATGGGCGCGTGTTTGGGCCGTCCCATTGCCAAAGCACTTCCAGAAACAGGAGAGGCTGTTAGAGTGGGCGGGGCGAACAGCAACGCAGGTCCACTCCTCTTTCAGCAGTAGATGATTACATCCAATCCTGACTGCACAAGCACACTGCGCTCCTTACCACTACACCACACTCCTGCCTACAACGTTCTGTCAGAAATGGGATTCGAACCCACGCCTCCATTCAGAGACCGGAACACCCGAATTCTAAGAGAGGGTAGATCACCTTGAGTCCAGCACCTTAGACCACTCAGCCATCCTGACAAGAATGGCAGGCCATTGTGTCAATAAGCAACATATAGTGAATGGTTCTTATGCAGGATGTAGTTCAGCTAGTCAACCAGTGAGTGTCAAGGGCGTCAGAAACAGAGTGGAGGGACGGGCGAGGACCTGATTCCCTGTCACCATCACAGCAGGGTATATCAACCCTTCAGCACAAAATAATGCCATTACACAGTGAGCTTTCAATCTGCTAAACCTGGAGAGGGTCAAATAAGCAGGCAGGCTTTAGATGTCACAGAGAGAGCAGCGTGTTCAGAGGCCTAAGAAAGCCTAATTTCCCCCGGTGCCCTCAAACTGCACCTCTTATTACTCTTAAAACTCTACTTTGCCTGCCACTCTCTAGTATTCAGTTTCATGATGCAATTGCTGGTTACCAGAATTCAGACAGCCTTAAAGGATTTTATGACGGGTCTCTCTGTAAAGTGTTTGTCCTGCACTTTGACGGCCATGTTTGCGTTTCAGCTCCTAAGCAGGAGGCAGTGAAGCGGAGAGATGGCTGGGATAGCGGCGCTTTAAAAAACAGCCACGTGCACCTCGTGCTCCTCGTGCGGCCACACGGGCGCCTGCCAGCTCTTATCGGACGTGACAGGGTGCTGAGCGAGCCAAGGGGGACGGCCCGCCAGCAAGCACAGTCAACACTGCCACCCCCCCCCGCACCACCCCAGCATGACCCCAGCATGCCAGCGGGGAGTCTCAAGTCACAGTCAGAGATTCCTATCCACAATCCCCTGGCGTGGGATTCCACAGAGCAATGCTATTGCTTAAATAACAATGATTTTGTATCTTCTTCATGGATGACTGTTTTGGGTTGCTGCTGCGATGATTTCTGCAGAACCTGATTCCAAAATTCATCAAAGGGACAAGGAATCAAATCGTAACGCTACCACTAACCCATACGAAAATGAAATACATTGCAACATACTGAGAGATATATTGTTAAGCCCAAGAATATATTGCAAATACACTTACAATACACTAATACAAAGAAAATGTCCTTTTTTTAACATATTTACATATTTTTCAATATATTTGAGCCAAAAAATATATTCTCAAAATATATTCTTATTTTTTTGTATGGGAAGCCTAAACAGTAATATTTATAATACATACTGAGGTAAACTACACATTCGTTGCAGTTTTTCAACAGTAAAGGATAAAGAACGTTGTGAATGAATGAATGTAGCTATGCAACTGATCCTGCACAAACGTGGCCATTAGAATCACACATGCGTGCGTTTCCTTCCGTATCAGCACTGAGAGTCTGTGACCCGTGAAGTGTTGGGTTTATCGACGTGCCCCGGCCACGCATGCACAAATTATGCAATAAACACAGCTCTGCCTTTCTGAATTATGCAACGTAATCCTCACAGAGCATGCTGACATGCGGCGGGGGGGGGGAGTAAGCCCCCTCCTTTCCCGTGGCGGTAATCTCTGAGACGGAGGTCTTGCTCTGCCAACCTGCAGTGCAGTAGACGCTGGCCCTTATGTAAGGAGATTGGCGGCCTGGCCGCACGGCAATGAGGCTGGCGTCGTTACGATCGGTGCAGTTCTGCCAGAAGCTTCGGCTGACACTGGGAGGGGACGGGGATGGAGGGTGGGGATGGAGGGCGGTGATGGGGGTGGGGGTTATTATTTGTCAGCCATAAAAACCGCGTCTCTGTAAATAACCTTTATTTATTAGCAGGGCTCTTCCCCCCGCTTATGCTCTGAGCAGAGAGAGCACAGGCAATGCTGTTCTGTATATATGACGAGCAGCAGGGCTTGCGGTCGCCTTGGTAATGGCCAGGTCTAAGACACTGCATGATGATGGGGTCACCATTCTGTGTTGGGGCTAGTTTCCTGTGTCCAATCACCTGCCCAGGTTTTGTCTCTCATTAAGTTACATTACATCACATCATCATCAAGCAGATGCTTTCATTCAGAGCAGCTTACACAGTGCCTCTAATAATGTGGCATGAAAGGTTGCATGAACAGGACACCCTAACCACACACGATCAAGCCTCAGTGCCAAACACAGTGCTGACATCACAAATATGTGCCTGGATTGGCATGTATGTGCAAAGTAATATGTTCAATTTAAGGACTAAACCATTCCAAATATATTGCTAACACATTCCACACACATGCATGTAAACCTCCACATACCCCCTTACATAAAACTATGAAATACACTTCCACACGTATAGTTACACATATATACTGCATGCTCTATGAGTCTGTGCTTGCAGTCAGAGAGAGCACTGGAGCTTTCCTGAAATTAAAGACCCAATTTCACACAGCTGCCTCCTCAGGTAACCAGTGTATTGAGAATGAAATTGAAACAGGCCTTCTGAGTTTTATTACATTGTTAGAATAGAAGACTTTAGAATGATTTTATAATGCCGGTATATCAGAGGCAGTTAAACTGCTGACGTTTTTCTTCACAAAAAGCCAAAGGGTGGAATAAAGACAGAAAAAAATACAGCCAGGTCCTTTCTGGAGAGAATAATGCTCCAGTCTGTCAAACTCACAGGAAAATCTTGGGAATTCTCATTTTTTAATCAACGCCTTCAAAACCGGATAATTCACACAGTAAATTCCCCACCATTTCCTCACGCAAGAGGACAGACCTCCAGTAGCAATCGGAAATCGTCATTTTCTCAGCAGCAGGTCACTCATGGACTCCTGACTCAAAGAGTGTGTCATCCTGGGACTTTCACAAGGTATTTTATTATGGGTTCCAGCCCCAAACCTCCAACTGTGCGTACCGTCCAAAGGCCGTGTTAAAGACCGCCCAGACGCAGTGTTACATCAGGCCATTGAAGACATCAAACAGCGGGCTTTTTGATATCAGCTGTTTAGCTGATGTGTGCCAAAGGACGTCTGCTTTGGGCACAGCATACACACACAGTCATTGAACGGTCACAAAAAATTAACTCTGGGTCAGGAACACCGGGTCAAAGGGCATTTTTTATTTGTTACTAAACAGGCACCGATGTTGAGAGGGATGAATAAACAGCAGAGAACGTGACGATCTCAGCTGGAGGGAAGAAAACTCATCACAAAGTGCATCACTACACTCCTGCCTCAATCCCACCCTCCCTAAATGTTGCTTGTATTACATAACACAAGAGAAACTCAATGCAAAAAGTTACCATCATCACAAATAAATCATCCCAAACAAATCTTTTTTTCTGGTTCTGTGTCAAACTGTGACAGATTTCCTCCAAAATCACAGGCCTGTACCCCTTTCCCGGGAACCAGGCATCTCCCCTCACCCCCACGTCTGCTGCTGGGGGAGAACATATGGGTGATGGGGTCAGAGGTCACCTCAGCGATCAATGGGGCGTCGGGGCTCCGACAGCCACAGTGATTAAGTGTTCATTTCGTCTGTGACCGCAGGGGGCGGGTTGGGGTAACTGAAGGTTGCCGGGGCCGCGTTACTGTATACCGAAACGCAAACAACTGCGCGAGACGGTCGCTGAAAAATGACCATTGCAATTATCTGCTAATGCCTTGACCTCTGGCCTCATGAATGGGGGCATGTCTGAGCAGGAGAGATAAGGCTGTTGACAGCATGTCTCTGTGATCAGGCAGGTCTGGGTAAGACTAGCCTATCTCTGCTATAAGACTGCAAAGGCCCTGTTAGGGTCCGTGAGATCAAGACAAGGTTTGTGCAGTTGAACTGCTCAACAGTCTCAACCACAGAGTTCAGAACTGGGTGATGCCTGTACGTGGAGATAACAAAAAGATGTGTTTACTGCAGCACTGAGTGGCTGTATGACTCCATTAGAGTGCAGGCTATACAGTCCCTTGCTCTTATGCATTCAGTGCAACTTAACAAGAACCATTAAAAGGTCATGAAACAAACAAATGAGGAAATGGGAAATCACTAGACAGGCTTTTAGCAGTGAAAGATGAGGAGTGCTCCACTCTTTAGAGCACGAGGGGGGTCCGCTTTGTCATTTCTGTCACGTGTCCTCCACAAAGGGTCTTTCCAGCCCCAGGAGGGCCTCAGGGGGGCAGGGATGTGGGTCTCTCCTCCGTCTGCAGCAGCCGCCGTTCTGAGATAACCCCCCTCCACCAGGCCCGGGACGCTGGAGGTGCGACGGTATTTGCATACCCATTGTGTCCACTTCCAGGCTGGGTCGCCGTAGACAGATGGCAGGATCGTAACCCCCATCCCTTTGTGAGCCAGGCCCTCCCACCGGTCTCACCCCCGCCCCCTGGTCCCGCCCCCCAGCCTTTAGCACGGGAGCCCCTGCAGTCCCACGGCCGGGTCACACACCCTGCCCCTTCTCTGCCCCCATTTTAGGAAATTTGTTTTGCACCATCGCAAAAAGGCTTGCACACAAAAACATGAGCAAAGCTTAGCGGCTGCACAGCTGTGTGGCAAACACAATGCACTATAATGGAATCCTTTTTTTATTTTAAAGCCAGAGGAGCCCTGTGAGGATGAGAGGAAGGTGGAAAGCTATACCAGGAGGTAGATACCAGAAGGTGGGGGTGCAGACATCAGAGGGAGACTGGGGGGGTGTTTAAAAGGCCTTAGAGGTGAGTCTGGTGCAGGTGAGTAGGAGCCCCCCCCCACCCCCGCCGCCAGCCAGTGTGAGGGGTAACACTCAGGAAGGAAAGGAGAAAGGCTGCAGGGCGTTTCACAGGGAGCTGAACCTGCAGAGACAGCTTCCGCACTCCACAGGGGTAATCAGGAGTCAGGAGCAAGCGAGCTGTGTGTGTGTGTGTGTGTGTGTGTGTGTGTGTGTGTGTGTGTGTGTGTGTGTGTGTTTGTGTAGAACAGGAAACAGAGGGCGATCCTCCTCTCCAATGAGCATCAGAGCCGCGGCAGCCCCCAGAACCCTTTACCGCCGCCGATCGCCACAGCGGCCGCGCACTGACCTCCTGTCACCCTGCCCGGCGGGCGCGTGTGGCATCGCCTCCCACAAACAGCCGACCCCGCTCTCACCTTTCCGCACCCTGCCACCGCAGCGCCGCCACGCGCTCCG